AGGGTTAAGCCTTATATGCAAGTCCCCATGCAAGGGAACACCCACCTGGACCTTGTGGGGGACAGGATGACAATTGTTACAAGCCAATGATAATGCAGTACAATTGGTGACACTCCCACATACAATACAATAAGTCTTTCCCTTTAATTAGAGGATAATTGAGTCAAGCACTATACTAAACTCAATTATCTCCAAACCCAAAAAACACACATTTCTAAAGTACCACAAAACACATAATATCCCCACAAATCTTACATCGCCTGATAGCCCTGATCTGGGTGACCAACATATCCAAAAATCACCCAGATCAGATAAGGGATTCAGAAATTTTATGGAAGTCATATTTTTTACAGACCGCAGGCATGGTCTCAAAGCCGAAAACAGTTCCAGAGAATCGCGGCTAAGGGCTGCTGGAGAACCGACCGGGAACCACGAGGTTTTCATGCCGAAAATAGTTCCAGGGCATTCGCGGCTAAGTTCCCCTGAAGTCTATTCACGGTTTTGGTCCATGCGAACAAGATGGCCGCCACGTGGTCGAATGGCACTTCAAATGGCTTCAGGAGTTCGGGAGTTCGAAGTGACGCTTCAAAAGTTCTAATAATTATTGTCCAAAGTCAAATTAAGTATACACAAAAATACAAAAAATGAGGGCAGTGCAAACAATTTGCAAACGTGCACACCAAGTGCTACAAAAAGATTTATTAGCAAGGACATAAGGTACAAACGTTTCGGGTTATCCCCTTTATCAATGCATGTCCCTGATAAAGGGGATAACCCGAAACGTTTGTACCTTATGTCCTTGGTAATAAATCTTTTTGTAGCACTTGGTGTGCACATTTGCAAATTATTTGCGCTGCCCTCATTTTTTGTATTTTTGTGGATTAATTTACCCTGCTTGGAGCTGCAGAGGGAGGTGCCAGCAGCACCATAGGAAAAGTGTGTATCTTTATTTTCTCTAGGTACTGCAGTAACCCTTACCTCGGCTATATACTGGTTATAACTGTGTTTTCAAATTAAGTATAAATAGGGTTTTTTAAAGGAGCACTATAGGGTCAGGAACACAAACATGTATTCCTGACCCTATAAGGTTAAAACCGCCATATGGCCACCCTGAGCCCCTCCTGCATCCATAAACATAGAAATCTTACTAGTATTCAAGTCTGGAGCTGCTGGCTTTGTCACTGTTTCCTTTAGACCTGCCCCACTGCCTGCTGACATCAGCAGAAGTGGTAGCCTGATCCAATCACAATGCTTCCCCATAGGATTGGCTGAGACTGACAAAGAGGCAGATCATCAGCAGAGCCAGCACAATTCAAACACAGCCTTGGCCAATCAGCATCTCCTCATAGAGATGAATTGAATCAATGCATCTCTATGAGGAAAGTTCAGTGTCTGCATGCAGAGGGAGGAGACACTGAATGTTTGAATGCATTTTAGGCAGCCATGACCCAGGAAGGATCTCTAACAGCTATCTGAGGAATGGCCAGTGAAGTTATCACTAGACTGTAATGTAA